CACTGGATCGATATATATACTTGGCGCAAACAGCATCAGTCGCTGATGGTACTGTGTATCGCAGCGGATTAAACTTCCCTATTTGGAAACATAGTCTCGAAGAAGGTGGCAGCATTAACTAAGTCAATGCCATAGCATTCTTTCAAACAATCTTGGGAATCCAAAGATCCATTGTCCGCGACACGTTCCGCACTGATTGCACGATACACCGCGTGCGCTCAAACAGTTGGTCTCAATGGTTTGAAGGAAGCTGAAAGATGCGTCGAAATTAAGCAGGTTGCGCTTGGATAGCTGCCAGGACGTCTTCGTGAGATGACATTTTGAGAGCATCTTGTTCGATGAACTCGTCGATGACATGTTAAAGCTCTTCTAACGAAACTTGTTCTACTTTAAGGGCGAGGGTACGAGCGCTTTTCAGTGTACGAGCCTCCTCTTCATACAGTAATAGGTCAGACAAAGCAGAAAAGCCAGATATTGAGGTGATCATTCCATCGTCATCCCCGTTTCGCTCACACGCTTCCAAATCATTATCAGGTGGGAGGGTCGAGTCAAATCCCTCATTCCGTAAAATCTCATAGCAATTTGGCGATACAGGAAAATAGTACACCAGCAAATAGGGGTCCTCAACTTCACATTCTAACATGCAGGGAATGAGGCCGATTGACTCGATGTAAGTGCCGCCGTCGCGATTGATGATCCCGAATTGCGAATGCTGTACGAGTTTCCACTCCGGTGCGCCTTTTGGAACGACATGAACGATCATGCGCTTCACCTTGTCCTAGTACGAGCAGAGGCACGACCTGTGAGCATAGCATGAGCAGATAGCTCGTCTAGGTCTATTGCAACCCTTGTCCTAACTTGTGGCCCGCTGGGGTCATGAGTTATAACCTCGTGCTCGGCGGCGACCTCCTCTCTTCCATTCATGCTAGCATCGGAAGTGTCAGACGATCGACAAGGATGAGGCCGGAAGGATGGCGGCTTTACCCGATTTAATTTGCGTGGCCTGTGCTGCACAGCACGGCTTTTCTTCCGAGTCGAAGTAGAACCCGAAGAGGTTCTCTAGTCGATTCAAAGAGCCCGGCAGGACAACCCACACTACAGTGCGTCCCCTGGACTTCTCTTGACGATGCAAGTGCGTAGGAGTAATCAGAACAGGTCTGGCTTTTCTTTGCACAAACCAGTCGTAGATCGCTTGATCTGTGACGTCTTTTTGTAGACGGGTCAATCCACAAAATACAGCTTGTCGTACTTTGAACACTTACGGGTCGTGACACTGATGCCACATACCGTAAGCTGCAAGTTGTTCAGCCTCGTCAAGGCATCATCCGGCGTGCAGACGAACGAAATGCCACGACGCTCATACGCTTGAAAGTCACGGAGATGGACGAGACACTCTAGCCATACCGCAGGCAAACTTACAGAAGCAAGAGTACTTGGGTTTGCGTCCTGCCTATGCTCGGTGGTGAGACGAGCAGCCAGACTCCATACGTTCGTAAAAATTTACGCAGTCACTGGCGTAGGGACCGCAACAGGTGCAGCAAATTGACGATCTTGATTCGTTAAATAGTCGTCCGAAAATCGTTCAAGGCTTTTCTCGAATTAGGTGTCGTCAGGCACCCAGCGTAGCGCAGGTTGCCTATCAGTTGGTTGTTGACGTCCCGTTAGCCGCAATTGGCGTCGCCGAGCTTGGCGCTGGCGTGACGGTGGTCGCGGCGGCGACTCGGTTGAAGCATTTGCCATTGTAAAATGATGGCCTGAGCCTACTGTCAGAATCAAGGGTAGGTGCAGCTAGGCAGATGGTCTGTGGTGGGAGTGAGAATTACACACTCCTTTTAAATGGGCCGAAAGGCAAACACAGTCTTAATGCGGCCAGTGAAGAGAAGGCACCGCAGTATTTGGCTGCCTTGGCTGGTTAGAGGGAACTAGTCGGACTAACACGTATACAAATGCCTAGCTCTGTTGAGACTACGCGGATGACTGACTGCAGTTTAAGTGCAAACGTGAGCTTTGAGGGCTGATCCGCACAAAGTCACGAGAGTTTTAACCGTAAATTCGACAAAGTTACCTAAGTACACGGCGTATTGCAACTGCAGTTCTTAACGACGAGCTTTACACTTGCAAACCTCTTGTGAGGTGGTTCTTACGTCTTCTCAATCAAATACATTCCGCACAAGAAATCAGGAAACGAATGTAAAGTCTGTAGAAAGGCGTGGTAGGCTAGGGTGGAGTAGGCAGGACGGCTACAGGGGGCGCGAGGCACAAGTCGGTGGCAGCAGTTACCGCGAAGCTAAAGCTGTTGTGATGCGAGATCTTGAGGAGTCTTCGAAGGTAGGTGCGACGAACGGGTTCAAGGCAACCGAAGCAAAAGACAGAGGCGGAAGAAGACGGACAACCTGAGCTTGTACGTAGTCGGCTGGGTGGCCTTTTCTTGTACGCTTGCGTGGGAGAAAGAATATTAGGAAGTCCACAAGAGCTGCTGGGAGTGCTATTGAGGCAAGTATTTGCACAATTGAAGCAATCAATAATATAGTCGATTTAGTAGTTGATATAACAAATAAATCAACAGCTGCCTGCTCTCCACACGCCAATCGCAAGGCGTCAGTTGGGGCACGTTGGACTTCAAATAAAAAGTGCGGTGCATGACGTGTAGTATTGCATCTTTCGCACCTAAAAAACGTTATCTTAGTGAGGCCTCTACACATGCTTCATTTACTGAAACACCAGCCGTCTACCAAGCAAATTGCCAGCATCGCACTCCGTCGTCCAGATTTTTTAGTATTGAGCGAGAGTATTCTACTTACACGATGAAACGGCATCAGAGCCAGCATTCATGCTGAATTTGCGTCGATGATAGTGTCTTTGATTTCACAAATTTACATCGTGGAGGGGCGTGCGTTGAAGCGGGGCTGCCGTAGGGTTGCGCTTATAGGAAGCGTAATTTAGGTCACTGACCTTTCGTTCTATACTTAAAATAAGTCCGAATTAGCAGATCGCAACTCGCTTACTCCAAGAGTATTTATTGCCTTAACCCAGGGCTAATTACTCTTCCGTTTGACATCCTTTATTTATTTATTTTTATCTGCGGCTATACCGCCTAGTTTTAAATGTATAGATCTACCTAAATATATATAGTAAAATCTCAATTTATGCATAACTACTGGCTACCCAGCCACATACCGTATACTTATTTGGTTGCAGTCACACCTTGTCTATCTCGTGTGATACACACCCCTGTTAACAGGGTACATGTAACCCCATTACACTCTCTCACATTAAGATTGAGAACATTTACAGTTCCAATCGATTATTGCCTCAACGAGGCTTGC